TTCAGGGTTTGGGTTTGTATCTGACTGGTGTCCGCAATGCTGTTGTTTCCGTTTAGCAGCTTTGCCTCATGACACAGACGGTGTCTTCGAAGCAACCACGTGAAGCACCTGTGATCGAACAACAGGAGTAGGGGCAGGTCAGCGCATTTGGCCTGTGCAGTAGAGCTGGCAGCATAGTAGAGCTAGCAGCATAGCTGGAAGGCCCCACTCGCGGTTATTCCCCGCACTCTAGCCGCTAGCTAGCCACTGTAGTCACTGTAGGTCGACTGCACGCTCGAAAGCTTTATTCGTCAGGTGTTCTCGAATCTCTCCAGCTCAAGGAAACGTTTCAGGCCCGGACACGGACGCACAGAGGCTGCGGGCACATGAAGAGGGGCAGAACTCCTCTGCAGAGCATGGAGGCTGATGCAACCCAGAGCTTGCCCGGAAGATTTGTCGATGCGCTGGCGAAGGTCCCTCCAGCAGCCTGTTGATGCCTGTGTCGCTGTGTGGGATTGGTCGGAAGCGGGTCAAGAGCATCCAATTGACAGCCCAGCGCTGCGATGTCCTGTGAGGCGTTGTACGAAGGTGGTGACCTGCGCCGTGTGCATGGAACCAGACAGCTGCCAGACGGCTGGGTCAGCACGGCTGGCCCTTGTGCAGAATGTGTCCACCTCCTGTCAGCTGCTTTTGCAGGGAGCGGGCTTGAAGTTGCTCATCAGTGCGAATCTGCCAGGAGATGGTCTACTCTCGCAGTGCAGGCACAGAGCCCAGAAAATGGCCAACACGACTTGCATCCAACAGCATCGAGGTCTCTTTTATTACCACGAGATTCCCAAGGGCGGGGCGCAGAACGGGCGAACACAATGGCAGTTTCCAGATCTGCAAGCTGAGTCTTGGTATAATCTAGGGCTGTTCCGCCATTTGCAAGTGCTTCAGATAGAGTTGACAAAAGGCCTGGGTGAGGCCGATCAACATCGTGCAGAGTACTTGAGCTGAAGATATGAGTTTGGCGTTTCTACTGCTACTCGGACGAGGCTCAGAGTGAAAATTGTCTTACAGCTGAGGCATGCGCAAGCCAGGGACATGTAGCAGATTGTAGCAGTGGGAAAACCCACTAGCGAACGCAGGATTTCCGATTCCCCCGGTTGGGCCCCTACAAAAACTGGATATTTCCGGAGCCAGACTATGATCCGACCGTGGGCTGGATGGGAGGAAAGGCCGGAAGCAAGGAACTATGGAAGACCTGCGAATCTTGGTTTGGTAAGTCTCTGCTCCCCAAGGAGTTCAATCCTCCTGAAGTTCCGAACGCCTTGACTGCATGTGAAAGGCAGGTCCTGGCACCTTCGCACCGCTATTTGTTGCAGAGTGGTCTCACCTTCCAGTCAGGGGCGCCCCTTGCACCGGCGTTCCATATGTGGAGCTGGATAGTGGAGGCCAGGGATAGCCGTGCAGAGTAGATTCGGCATAAGCAGTGAAGGTTGTGCTTGTGAGTGAGCTTGCGCATGTGCTTGTGGTGGTGAATGTGGTTGTGGTTGCGAGTGTTGTGGCGGGGGTTGTGGTTGTGGTGGTTGCGGTGGTGGTTGTTGTTGTTGTTGTTGTTGCGGTGGTGGTGGTTGCTGCTGCTTTGCTCAGGTGCAAAGGCAGTCTCACACGCCCGCAATGAGCAGAGCCCGCTCGCTCAGCGTCCAATAAAATGGTTGCTGCTGCTTGTGGTGTTGTTGTTGTTGTTGGTGGTGGTTGCTGCTTTTTATGTTGATGTTTCTGTTGGCGGTGGTGTTGGTGTTGGTTTTGGTGTTGATGTTTGTTGGTGCTGGTCTTGGTCTTGTTGTTGTTGTGGTTGTTGTTGGTGGCTTCCAGCAGGTAGCTGGTAGCAGTAGCGGCCCGTGGCAGCATCCCTTTTCTTTCCAGAGGTACAAGCATTGCGGCATTTACGTGTTCGTCTGTTTATGACTCGGCAGGGGAGCCTCTGTGCTTGCTGTGCGGGCAGAGAGGCAAGGCTTGCTGCTTTCTCAGCATCCGTATCGTACTGTGGCCGTGCTCATGATCATAGTTAGCTTTGCAGGTTTGGAACACTTTGCTGGAGCTGCTCACGCAGACAAGATTCTGACATGGTCGGGGATTCACCAACGCAAGTGCTCCCAGTTGCATGCCGCTGAGAGTTGCAAGCACCATAGGCTGTGTGTCAAGCGTGAAGAGTGGTGTGTAAATAGTTGTGCAACTTTTCAAATTCCCCACTTGCCAGATAGTCAAGTCAAGACTTTCGCATCATGCAATACAGCCCGACGAAAGAATTAAGCGGAACAAAGACAAGGGAGGCATAGAGGCAAAGGATGATACCGTCGACATGTTGAAAGCAGTTCGGTAGGATTTGATGAGAAGGCTCGGCCACTGGGAAAAGCCAGCCCGGAGAGGATTTGAGGTTCACGGGTCTAGAGTCTAGAGTTCAGGGTTTAGGGTTTAGGGTTCTTTCTGCCAGAGCGTTCTGATTTGCTTCTCATGTTTTCTGATAGTGCCGTTGCATTTTAGTTTTCTCTGAATTGGCACTGCTTGTTGTCCTAATCTGTTCCGCCACTGACCTGCCCTCTAGCAATTCCCCTGACATTTCATGATATCCAAGGTCTCTCTCAGGTTTTACGAGAGCTGTCAGCACAAGCGATGCTGCCAGGCGGCAGCCAGAGGTCACACTCTTGTGATAATCGCACTTATCCCGGCTGTGATTCTCGAGCATTTGCGGCAGAGTTTTCACTGAGGCTACCAGCCTCGTCGGGAGGAAAGGCAGTAGAGGAAGATGCCGCACTGGCGAAGGCGGAAGAAGAGCTCAGGCCATCGATCATCGCACAATCTTGCTTCGTTTGCAGGTGTGGCTTGAGGAAGCTCGACGTGCAGCTGTGATCCCAATTCTCGACTTGATATCCAGCGACGAAGGGTTTGTCCGAGAATTCCTTTTGATGAGGTCTTCGATTCTGATGCAGAACACCAAGACGTTGAGGTGCAGCCCCTCTTCATCTCAGACACTTAGGAAATCCCTTCTGCAATTTCGTGCCTGGTCAAGGTTTGCCGTATCTTTTGGCACCTGCTGCTCGAGCCCTTCTTCAAAGCCGTTCGGCTGGTGAGTGTGAAGGAGGTGCCTTTAGAGCTGAAGTCCAGAGTGCTACACAGTCGCAGTTGAAGCTCCGGCTCTTGCAGGGTTTGGACAGGGCCATCTACTTCAGTGGGCTGCCCGAGCCGAAGTGCCTTGGCAGACGTGGCCTCTTCCAATCTCTTCCAGCTTCCTGTCGATCCCGGCACTCGACGCTGTGAAGGTGGGCAGACATGCCCTGGCGCATGCCACTTCCACCTCGCTCCGGACAAGACTTTACTTGGTGTTGGACTTGGCATCGTGGCATTGCCTGTCATTTGTGAGAGGCACGGCGCGCAAGACCAGGACATGAACGACAGCTGCAAAGGGTCGAACATAACCAAACCTGCGAGCGAAGTCCAATGGACAGCCAAGCACATCTGTCACAAGAGGACGCCATCTTGAGTAAACACAAGAGCAGGATGCGGAGAACTGCATCGTTTTGAGTGAGGCCCTATCATTCCTCGTTGAAGCTGTCGCCGTCGACACCGCGTGAGGCCTGCTGCATGCACGTGGTACACATCGCGGAGCCCTGTCTTCTTGTTTCCAGGTCTTCAATGCCCTGTCTGCGCAAGCACTCCTCCAAGAAGGACTGGCTCCTCAGGACAGATGCGCCGGAAAATCTGCGTCTCAAGCTTCGAGTATCTAGATCCTGCAATCAAACGACTTGAACCCGGCATTGGCAGGAAGGTGAACACAGGGGAGGTCTCTGGTGTTCTTTCTGCGCTTGGCTAAGAGACTCTTTGATTCCGTCTTTGTGCAGTGTTTGGCTGGGCTGCAGTATCTTACCCAGGCTGCAAGCCAGTGCCGGCAGCCTAATGGGCTTGTGAACTGTATTCTGCTGCCTGTACTCCGCTGCTTCAGCGGATTCTCGCATGTCAGGAAGATTCTCCAAGAGCACTTGGATCGAACTTCTCGAGAGGCCCCCAAGATGCTCTGCTTTCATCCCCTGTCTGCTGTCGCGCTTACGTTAATCTTTACTATTACTAGGCCCAGGAGCACATGCGAGCGAAGAGCAGCTGTCAAGCGGTGGCGGACAAGCTACGAGTTGGAGGCCAGGGGGGTTGCTCGGCTCTGTTCCCCCCGCCAGCCGACAGGTGTAGCAACGAAGCCGATGTAGCGCTGCTCTGTTTTGAACCGACGTTGTGCTGAGCCCTGGCATGCCGCTGCTGCTGGCAGGCTGGCGGCTACGCCGTGAAGGTCTGCAAATCCTGAAGCAGCGTGGCCCAGCGGCGATTATCAGAATGTGATCGCCTATGGACACAGCACCACGACCTTGGAACCATAAGCCAGGATTTTACTGCGGTCTTTGCAACGCATCGGGAAGCTGGATGCAAATCTGGGATCACCACAGAAGCCATCACCACCAGAATGCGTGCGCCGAGTGTCCTTTGAAACAAGTCCGTACTCCCGCCAGTAGCTAGGATTTAAAATGTCTGTTTATGGTGTCTAGGTACATGGCCCTGCGGTCGAGTCGATCACCTGCGGCACTTCAAGCACACACCAACAACGAACAGTTCAAGGAGGCTGCGTGAAAGTCATTGCGACATGGCACCCAGACATCGGCAGCTTCGCAAGGCAGAAGAAAAAGCCTGGCAAGCTGCATTCGATGCCGATCGCAATGCAGTCATTCAGGCTAGCCTGCTAGCCTGCCGGCGTGAGCAATGAAGTCCTCTTTGGAACCACCGCTGTGCTGCAGGTTTAAATTGGGACGCTTCCTTATTCAGCTTGCCAAAGGCATAGCTATACCAGCGTCTGGCGTGAAAAGGAGTGAGGCAGCTGAATTCCTACCGGCTTCAGCCTTTGATCAGAGTGAGTTCTTTTGGTTCAGGCTCTGTGGGGAGCTCCCGGCTCAAGGACGGAGGAATGAATTTGTGAATTTGTTGGTTTCACCAGCTCCATGAGCCAAGCTGCCACGTCTCAGTCATGTCTCCACCTTGTGGAGCACACTTCCCTCCTGCAACAGCTTTCGAAGAAAGGTAGGTGGCAGCAGGCTTGGGATGCGCAAACTCACCTGCCAACAAGAAGGATCCACGGGGACCAGATGAGTTGCACGTCTTTGTTGAAGAGTCTGCGACATCCAGGAAGATGGGATCTGGCGCTGAGCTTTTGCAGCAAACTTGGCCACACTGCCGTGAGGGTGAACCAGTTTGTTTTCAACGCTTTGATCAGTACCTGCACCTACCTGAACGCATGGCAGTTCGGGCTGGCCGCATTGATTTGCATGGGCGTACTTCGTATCTGCCGGGATACCATCAGCTACAATACGGTGGCTTGGCCGCGCGGAGCTTCAGACGTCCTCCCCCGGTGCTTCAGAGCTCGGCTCCAAGTCAAAACCTGAGCATGGCGCTCTCCTTTCTTCTGCTTGCGTACAACCGTCAGCGTTCCATTCAGCTACAAGGGGCCCCTAGGTTTTGAGAGGGAACCATCGGGGGTCACATTATGAAGAACTTTCTGGCTATACTAACACACTCTGCGCAGGGTAGCAATCACACGATCATTGTGGCAGTAGGCCTGGTTCTGCTTCTTCAAGGGCCTCCTGCAGGCACTACTTGCAGCACGAACTCTCTGGTGCAGCGTGCTTCACTCCGCATCACGCCGTAGCGAGCCGGGACACTTCCGTAGCGTGCAGCAGACAGTCAAGGCTAGTGCAGGGGGAAGCATGGTCGGCTAACAGAAGGTTCTTACAGGAAACAATGCTTTCCGTCATCCAAGCAGCTCAATTGCACCTGTAGGGCTGGTCTACGCCTCTTTCTTCGGGATCCTAACAACTAGACCGACGTGTTCGGCTAACATCCTGAATGCCGGCAGAAGGCGCTGAGGTGCTGGCGGACCTGCTATTGCTAGACGTTGTGTTTGTGCTTTGAAGCCCTAAGCCTTCCCTAAGTTGCCGTGAACGGCCTAAGGTGGTGGCTGCATGTGCAACGCGGCAGCTGCATGCCTGGCAAGCTGCCCTTGGACTCCTCAACAAAGGGAACTTTGCAAAAAGAGACACGATCAGCTGCTCGGCTCCAAGCTGCTACTGGTTTTTGTGCCTTCTTTCAAGAGGCCAAAACAGCAGGGGAATTTGTTGAGACCAGGTCAAAGTGCCGCTATGGCCGGTTGCGCCAGCAATAGCCTCTGGCTTTGTGCCTTGGTGCTGCAACACGAGACAGTCGACTCAGGCATCGAGACGAACGCGATTTTGTGGAACACGTACCTGAATGCCTTAGAAGGTAGTGGCGAGTGGGGCATATTGCTGGAAGCGCTGCGGGGCATGCAATGCATCAGTCTGAAGCCATCCCCGACAAGTCTCACTCCTGTCGTCAACACAGTCGGGTCTTTAAGTTCTTGGGATCGCGCAATCTTTATGCGAGCAACGTCTGGACTCTACGATCTCATCCTGCTGAACAGCGCAATGTGTGCATACGGCGCGGGGCACCAATGGAAGCCGGCGCAGTCGTGCCTGGAGGCGATGAGGGAGATGCGCTGCTACGACAAAGCAAGCCTCAGTGCAGCGATTACATCGTGTGAGAAGGCGAGTGAGTGGCGCTTTGGCCTCCAGCTTGTGCGGGAGCTCAGCGTTGCGGATTCTGTCGGTTGCCGTGATGCAAAATGGATTTATACACTCAGTCACTCAGGATGATGGTTAATCATCTTCGGGCCTGTTCGGGGCGAGTAGACAAAGGCTGTTATTTTTCGCTGCCAGCAAGGGCGCGTTCTCGGCCTCTTTCTCTTGTCTCCGAAACGGAGCATTGTTTTCACAGCTCTCTTCTTGCGGCCGTGTCTGTACCGTGATCATGATTGCAGTCGTTGCCTTGGAGCGCCGTACATGCACGCACGCATTCACACGCCCGCAAATGCGCACACACGCACATGACACATGCATACATACATGCATACATGCGTGCATACATACACACGTACATACATATCATGTCATATATGCATGCATACATACATTCTTCCATGCATGCATATGCATACATGCATGCATATGTCCATGCAACCATGCAGCCCTCATTTTGGCTTGAACGCCACGCGGAGGCGCACATGGATGTATGTATGTACGTATGTATGTATGTACAAATATATGGATGTCTGGATGCACGCATGGATGTATGAGTGTATTGTCTGTATGTATGCATGCAAGCGCATACTTACAGTATGTATGTACAGACGTGTGCATGCATGCATGCATGCATGCATGCATCTCTGCATGCACATATGAAAGCATGTATGTTTTTGTTTGCCAGCCTCGGGCGTTGTTGCTGCTTGCTTGCTCGTATGTTTGTATGTGGTCACAATCCATGTGGAGCGATTAGATGCATATATGATTGCACAAGGTAGTAGTTGCGTACTTACAGGTTTGTGTGGGCATTATAACCTATGCGGTTTAGTTGGAGAACCTTCTTGAACCTATGTAAAGGCAGAGCAAGTGCGCAGAGTCATCTAATTTTCCATGTTGCGTATATATATATATATACATACACAAAAAATGCGTATGCGTATGTGATCGTATGTGTATGTGTATATATAACCTTTTCATTTTCTGTGGGGGAAACATGGTGCTTATGCAGACAGATGGTAGTGGAGATGGGAAGGGGAGCCATTGCCGATGCAGCATAGGCAGACGATCCTGCATTAGTGCCTCCTGGAATCAGATCGAAGAAGCAGACCCAACACAACGAGGCTCACAGTCCGCCTTGCAATGCTTGCAGATAAGGTTTTGGCGCAGCAATGAGTGTGGCCGAAAAAGCTGGGCACTGGCTGATAGCCGTGAACCTTCTTCGTAGCTTGGCGGAATTGCCTGTCATTGCCTCTGTCTCTTTTGTTTCTTCCTGAGCTCTTTGTGCACAGCCTGCATGGAGGTGGACATGATGCAAGACACAGCCCTATACGGTGATGTCGATTTTCTACTGTAAGACACTTTTGCTTGGATACTGGTTAGTGTCAGCCCAATAAGGTGACCTGCGCTTGCAGCAAGTGTTGGTCTTAGTGTCTGAGCCGTGCTTACAACTTTGAGCCGGGAAAGGTCAAACATGTTGCCGTGCTGCGAGGTGGATGCTGACGAGATCCATACCAGTGCTTGTATCAGTGCATGTGAGAGGGCAGAGGCGCAGAAAGACAGCCGGTCGGATTGAGGCCCGGGAAGGGCAGAGCGCGGACATGAAGTCCGGCGTGCTACGTCAAAAAACACGATCACACTTGAGCTTCTGCGTGAGCTTTGGTCAGCAGAGCTCAAGAGTGATCCAAGCGAGGAAGGATCGTCTTCCATTCGACTGAGGCGGCACCTGGACCTGTAAAATGTGCTGGCGGCCTTTGGCGTTAATTGCGTATACTAGAGTTACTAGAGATCGAGCAGGAATTTGTTAGACGTGCTTTGAGGGTACACTTCGATGCCTTTCATGTGTAGTGTATGCATGCCGCATGCCGCATGATCTGTGCATATACAGCGAACCGCAACATAGCTCATTACGGAGAGGCATGCTGAAAATGATCTGGAACAAGGGACAGCGCAAGTCTCGCACGGGCCTTGCTCGTCTATCTCGCACATGTCGTTTAATTTACGTACAGGCTTGGGATGCTGATGAAATGTACCCAAACGGCTGCAGGTGCGGAAGATGCCTTCATAATTAGGGTGGGCAATGGAGGGCATGTCATGTTGCCCACAATGCGCATCTACTGGCACACCAGCAAGTCTGCAACGTACAGTGTAGCAATGCTCATCCAATTATGTGCTTCTGCGCATCTACTGGCACGCCAGCAAGTCTGCAGTCTACTGGTGCTTATCCACATATGTGCTTCTGTCAGCTTCGGATTGTGCAACTGCTGGTGAGCGACAGGCTTGTCGTAGATCCACATGGGGGCTATCATGTTGCCCACAGCATATGCGGACTGAGCGCATCCAGTGGTGCACCAGTCCGTCTACAGTGGAGGCACACACGGCAAAGCTCATCCTAATTATGTGCATCTGTCAGCTTCAGATTGTGCAACTGCTGGTGAGAGACAGGCACGTCGTGCATCCCACGAAAGCCTTGTACTTGCAGAAGGGGCAATCAGACAGAAGCCAGGGGAGCCTTGTCATGTTGCCCACAGTACCAACTGCAGATCATGCGTATCTGCTGGAGCATGCTGGCGCACCAGCCTGTCTACAGTCTAAGCAAACGGGAAAAAGCTCATGCTAGTTTAGAATTGCGTAACTGCTGGTCAGAGATGCGCGCCGTGTACATGAACACAAAAGTATTTTGTGGAAGATGCTCAGGCAGCAGCTACAGGGGAGGTCATGTTGCCCACAGCATATGCGGACTGTGCGCATCTACTGGCGCGCCAGTTCGTCTACAGTGGAGGCGCACATTGCAAAGCTCATCCTAATTATGTGCATCTGTCCGCTTCAGATTGTGCAACTGCTGGTGAGAGACAGGCCCGTTGTGCATCCTCCCATGATGTATGCGTGCCGAAGCTACAACATACAGTACGTAGCCATTGGGGAAGCCTGTCGTTCTGCCCAATCCTCGCACGCACGGACTATGCGCATCTACTGGTGCACCAGTAGGCCTACAGTGGAAGCGCATGTGACAAGTGAAAGCTGATCCAGTTCAGATTGCGAAACTGCTCGTGAGAGACACGTACATTGTACGTCGCCAAAAGACCTGTACTTGCCGAAGGGGCAATGAGGCAGCAGCAAGGGCCGGAGGCCTGTCAAGGTGCCCACAGCATATGCGGACTGTGCGCATCTACTGGCGCGCCAGTTCGTCTACAGTGGAGGCGCACATTGCAAAGCTCATCCTAATTATGTGCATCTGTCCGCTTCAGATTGTGCAACTGCTGGTGAGAGACAGGCACGTTGTGCATCCCACGAAAGCCTTGTACTTGCAGAAGGGGCAATCAGACAGAAGCCAGGGGAGCCTTGTCATGTTGCCCACAGTACCAACTGCAGATCATGCGTATCTGCTGGAGCATGCTGGCGCACCAGCCTGTCTACAGTCTAAGCAAACGGGAAAAAGCTCATGCTAGTTTAGAATTGCGTAACTGCTGGTCAGAGATGCGCGCCATGTACATGAACACAAAAGTATTTTGTGGAAGATGCTCAGGCAGCAGCTACAGGGGAGGTCATGTTGCCCACAGCATATGCGGACTGTGCGCATCTACTGGCGCGCCAGTTCGTCTACAGTGGAGGCGCACATTGCAAAGCTCATCCTAATTATGTGCATCTGTCCGCTTCAGATTGTGCAACTGCTGGTGAGAGACAGGCGCGTTGTGCATCGCCCCAAGATATATTCTGTACGTGTGCAGAAGCTGCAGCATGCAGTACGATGCAGTACGTAGCCATGGGCGAAGCCTGTCGTTCTGCCCAATCCTCGCACGCACGGACTATGCGCATCTACTGGTGCACCAGTAGGCCTACAGTGGAAGCGCATGTGACAAGTGAAAGCTGATCCAGTTCAGATTGCGAAACTGCTCGTGAGAGACACGTACATTGTACGTCGCAAAAAAACCTGTACTTGCCGAAGGGGCAATCAGGCAGCAGCAAGGGCCGGAGGCCTGTCAAGGTGCCCACAGCATATGCGGACTGTGCGCATCTACTGGCGCGCCAGTTCGTCTACAGTGGAGGCACACACGGCAAAGCTCATCCTAATTATGTGCATCTGTCAGCTTCAGATTGTGCAACTGCTGGTGAGAGACAGGCACGTTGTGCATCCCACGAAAGCCTTGTACTTGCAGAAGGGGCAATCAGACAGAAGCCAGGGGAGCCTTGTCATGTTGCCCACAGTACCAACTGCAGATCATGCGTATCTGCTGGAGCATGCTGGCGCACCAGCCTGTCTACAGTCTAAACAAACGGGAAAAAGCTCATGCTAGTTTAGAATTGCGTAACTGCTGGTCACAGATGCGTGCGTTGCACATGCACAGACAGTTATGTTTGTGGAAGATGCAATTAGACAGCAGCACAGGGGAGGCTTGTCATGTTGCCCACAGTATATGCGGACTGAGCGCATCCAGTGGTGCACCAGTCCGTCTACAGTGGAGGCACACACGGCAAAGCTCATCCTAATTATGTGCATCTGTCAGCTTCAGATTGTGCAACTGCTGGTGAGAGACAGGTACATCGTACATCTGCGGAAATGTAGTCATGCACCCCGCATATACGGACTGTGCACCAGTCCGTCTACAGTACGTCAAGCGCAAGTGAATGTCAAGAGTCGTCCGAATTGCATACGTGCTGTTGGCATCCTCGAATCTTTTTGCAAGTTTGTTTCTCAAACTGCTTCCGCTTTGACTTCGTGGTGCTTGGCCATCGTCTTCCCGTGCGGAGCCAAGTTTGCTTGGATTGTAAATTGACGCATGCTCCGATGAAATTCGGCATAATCCAGCCTGTGGTGTCTCAGGCCCGCTCATCATGAAGATGTCAAAGGGCACTGCTGAGAAGAGTGCCGGGGAGCCCGTCTTTGCGACGCGTCCTGTGGCCGATCGGCCAGAGCAGCCCTTTCAGGAAAACGACGCAGGACAAGAAGGTTGGGACCTCACTCAGCTGCTTTCTGATGCCTCGCCGCGCCTCGCCGAGGTGTTGTGACACAGCCTGAGCAGTTTACGACAGTGGTCGGGGTCGGCGGGGGTCGCTTCAACAAGCAGCAGTCTGGGGTCAGTGACTCGAGACCTACACAGGCAGCTGGATCCTTCAGAGATTCCATGAGCAAAGGTCAGCGCAGTCAGCTACCTCTCTGCCCTTTCCGAGACTTTTGCTGAGATTCGAGAAGCAGCTGCTCTGATGAATAAAGGGAGAGCAAGCTGTGGCACGATTTGCGCTGAGCAGATGGCTGTTCGACTCGAGTTTGTCGGAATTCTAAGGGCCCTCTACTGCTTTCATCGCTGTGCCTGGTGAGCGCACTGGAGGGAGCGGACATGGCCCTGCTACCTGCCGGACACCCAGCCACAGACTGCCGAGGCACTCGTGCCATGGCATCGCGTTTGCAAGCCCTTGGATGGCCCGAGGCCGTGTTTTACGCACTTCAAACGGATCTTGGCCTGCACCTGAACGACCTCGCCACCATGACCCTCATCCAGGCTCATCAGCCAGATTCAGCGACTCTGAATCATTGAAGTGTCGGAACGGCCTTTGCTCCAGGGTGTGACATCTTCAGCAGTGGCTCCCTTCTGGGGCATTATCGCCGATCGAGGCATCTTGAAGAGGTGCGCACTGCACGGCTCTGGTTTCACGCTGCAAGCAGATCCCCAAGCAGATCAGGAAGACCATCATCATCATGGGCTGCATCCTCCAGGGACTTGTCACCATGTTGCTGTCGGTGGTCGATCAGACCCCTGGCTCACCGTCTTTGTGAAGCTGTGCTGCCTTCGATTGCCTCTGTTGCAGAAACTATTCGATGAGGATGGTCGGGATGACGTTGCTACGAGCACTCAACGGAGCGCCCTCTCATAGCTTGTAGTCGCGTTTGCACATCAGACTGACCTGTGGCCAGGAGCTCTTTTGGCCTCTTTGCGACCGGTGGCCAATGGAGTCATTGCCGATGTGACGTCGGAGCAGAGACGTGGCAAGGCAAGGTTGATAGGGCCAGGGTAGCCCCAGCATTTGTGCCGCCAAGAATCGCCCTGTGGCCTCCGCACTGTACAGCAGCAAAGACGTGGTGCAAAGACGTGGTTGGCTGCGGGATCTGTCAACTTCCCGTCTCCTTTGGCGACACGAGCTTGTTCAGGTCTATGGCTTTGTCCAGCTGTGCTCCAACGTTGGCTTGATGGCCACCGACTAATCATCCCACAGTTGCAACCCGATGAAGAAATCGGCTTAGGCCTTAACAGCATCTCTGCTTTGCTTCAGGCAGGTGGCCTCATCGGAACACCTCTGTCCACTCAGCTGGTCTGGGGCTGGCAGGCGAAGTGAACTGTTGCCGGGACAGATCAACTGGATAGCAGCAGGTTTTTTGTGCCGGGCTATTTGAGCTGCGTTCAACATTTGGAATCGTGTGCACAAGATGCTATCGTCACATGCTCGCGTACTCTTTTGCATATACAAGTACGTCCACATTGAGAGACTTCTGCAGACGCAGGACAAACGGGCAGACACAGACAGAGACGGACTGACAGACAAACTGACAGACAGACAGTTGAGAGACTTCTGCAGACGCAG